TCAGCAGGAGGTTCTTTTAAAAAGAGTTGTCAGTGATCTGCCCTGCCAGAGCAAAGAGATGTGTGAACCCTAGTGAACATTTTCTCTCTCAGGAAGGTCACTGCTGGGCTGGGCCAACCCTGCAGTTGCAGGGGAGCCTATCCCAGAGTCACTGCTGGAGGCCAAATGCCTGAAGCAGTGTGGGAAGATCACGGGCATCAGCTGCCCCATACAGGTCACTCTGCCCCAGCATGGAGAGGGCCATGCGGAGCGTGCTCCAGATGTTGTCAGACATAGCGCCTTGCTGCCCTCGCGGACCTCGGCTCTTCTGCTGCATGTGCAAAGCCTCTAAGAAGTGCTCCACAGCCTCGCTGTCAACATGAGAACATACACATGCTTACTGGAAAAGATGGCACATCTCATGTTCCCTCCCCCATTTGCTTCTCAGCTACTTCCCTTCCAAAACAGTCTCCTCCTCTTCACCAAATCCTGCCCTACTCCAGCACCAGAGATTCCCTTTCCCTCTTAACAGAAACTGAAGTCCAGCTGGCTCCAACTGCATCTACATGCTTTGTTCTCAGGGCAGAGTTCACGCACTCGCTCTACTCTCCTATGCCAAGGGAAGGCTGCAGGCAGCGTGGCACTGCCCTCATAACCTATCACTGTCTCTCCCACGAACACAGGCACACTCAAGGGTCACAGCAGATCTGCCCATCCTATGCTCACCGGTGGGCGCCTAAGTTGATGCAACTGATGCCCAAGTTGTAGCGAGAGCGGATGTATCCTGGCTGGAGCTCCAGTGCCCGACGATATGCAGCCACCGCTTCCTCACTCCGATTCCCATTGGCCAGGGTGGCACCCAGCTTGTTCCATAAAAGGTGGTCCTGGAGAAGGGGGTAGAGAGAAAGGGCTGAGAAACTGGATATTTTTAAACTCCAAACCAGCCCTCCCTTCCCCATGTGTCTTACTCCACCACTCCAAGATGTACCTCTCACACAAGCAGCACCTCCACCCAAACCTTCACCCATAAACATCCAGGTACCTCCAGTGTCTACACTCCATCCTTTCTTACATTGGGGCGCACACTGAGTGCTGCACTGAAGCAATCCACAGCCTTCTCGTATTCACCACTAAGGTTGAAAAGGACACCCAGGCCACACTGAACATCAGGATCCACAGCTGAGGGGTTGCTGCGCACAGCTGCTAAGAACAGCTCCTTCACCTCCATGAACAGCGAGCTGGAAAAGCAAAGAACAAGAATATTGGTGTACTGTGGAGAGGCCTGGCCTCAGGTTGCTCCCTCTGCTCCTGCCTGAAACAGTCCCAGCCCTCCAAGAAGCCTTTCAATTTGTCACCCTAACTCACTCAGACAGCAGGGAACCTAGGACACGCTTGGAAGGCCCCAGGTTGGTCCCTGAGACACTCTCCTCCGCCTCGTTCTCCAGTAAGTGGGCATAGTCCGGTTTATACCGTAGCCAGTCCCGTAGGGTCTCACATGCCTGCTTCTGCAAGGACTCGTTGGTGAAGCTGACTGCTAAAGCCATAAGTGCTGTGAGGTTCCCAGGCTGCAGTTCCAAGCACCTGCAGGTTAAAAAGTGAATACAGTATTAAATCTGTCTGGGAGACACCCAGACACAGGAGGTAACACCAGACAGAGCACACCACACTAGCCATATGGTCCTTGTGGCACTAGACAAGGAGCCATGCTCAGAAGCTCTTCTGCAACACTCACTGTCTGAGGGCACTGATTGCCAAAAGCTCCTGTTCATTCTCTGCTTGGGTGGTTCCCAGATATTGCCAGGCCTGGAGAATATAAAGATGTAGAGAGTCAGACTTCTTCACATCCAAAGAAAAAGATCTGCTGATAAACCACAGAGATTTAAATCCACCATATTATCCCACACATTTTTAGAAAGAGACCAAATATATGCAAGTATACACATCAGCTGCAGATACAAGTTTCTCTCAAAAGACAAACAAAAATAGACTTTATGGCACGTGGGTTCTCAAGGCCAATAAAACTGGTATTGTTATAGTGGAAAAAAAAAAAAACTTAAGATCTATCATAAAGCAACTGTTGGCAGTTTTACACTTTCAAGTCACAGAATATCCACTTTTAACTTCTAACTGTGGCAAAACTGCAGAGGAAGGAAGCAAAAGCAGATCTCTTCTTTCCTAAGAACAAAATGGCATAGCAGCAGTGCTAATAAATGAGACATCCGGGGTAGGCAGCTGTATATACTTGTGCAGAGATCTGCTAGCAAGTGATAATCTTGGGGAGTTGACCGTCAGACCTGAAAAGTAGAAGCACTGTTATTTGACTGACTCTTCAATCATCCTGACACCAGTACATGAAAACCACTTCCATCTCCAGGCAGCTTAAATAGGGAATGTTTAATTAAGGCACCAACTCAAAAAGTACCTGTTCATTTTATACTGATCATCACCCCCCTTGCTTAAAAATAGGCTAGATAGTTGGTGGGATTGCCAACATGAAGTACCCACTTTCTGAATGTGGGTCACAAAATGCAGTATCCACTGCCTCAAGGAAATAAATAGTTTCATTAACAAAGACCCAGATACACTGCACAAGCAAGAGGCAATCTAATGTCTCAAATCATAGATTCATAGAACAGTTTCAGTCGTACGACCTTAAGATCATCCAACTTGGAACCGTGGGCAGGGATGCCTCACACTAGACCATGTCGCCCAAGGCTCTGTCCAGCCCGGCCTTGAACACTGCCAGGGATGGAGCATTTACCACTTCTCTAGACACTGTGTTCCAGTGTCTCAGCTGACAATTGATAACTGCATAGTGTTCTGCCCACGGAAGACCCGAGATTCAAGGCGAAGTCATGATTTGGACCAAAGCAACCATGACATTTCCTTCAGAGCAATTGCTCAAGTCTGTTTGATCACCGTACTGTATTTGTGATGTTCTGACTTCTCCTTTACTTTCTGCAGCCACAACAGAATTCAGAAGTGTTTTCACTGCAGCTAGCCAGAACTGCCAAGACTTTTTCCCTAAGGTTTCAACTACCTCTCCATTATGCTCAGCCTGCAGCCCACACTGCCTATCAGAAGAAAGTGCTGATTCTAAAAGAGACTTAGTAACACTTCTTGACCACTTTAAAGGTTAAGTAGATCTACAAAACCTCTGCTTACTTTTCACCTACTCCCAATACCCTAGAAAGCTAGATGCCTGTACACCCAGAAGCCAAGAACCTCTGTTTCAACAGGTCATTCTCATCTAAGCCTCAGGGCTAACATATTAGGTATTTCTAGCCATATACAGTTAGCAGAGCTACCTGTATATAGCAGCTAACACATATAGAGTTAACATACATATATATATATACACACACATTGTGTGTGTGCATATATATATCAGACACACATAATTCAGCATTCCTGGGTCCTTCAGGCAGGCACTCCATTTCCCAATCCATTCTGCAGAAGCTGAAGTGCTTTATGGAAGTAAGTATTCACCGAATTAGGAACTGGAATTGTGTTCAGTATAAAGATCATTCTCTGGCCCAGAGCTTCAAATGAAAACTGTGAAGACACCCAAACCACCTCTCAACCCTTTGGGGTTACACCTTCTCCTGGCAATTAGATGGAAGACCTAGACTAGGAGTCCTAGCTAACAAGCTGCTGTAAATTAGTCTTGAAAGCAGTTATCTGCTATAAGTGTCTCCAAACTTGCAGTGCCAATAAAGACTACCACAGAAGCAAGAGATGAGAACTCCTTGTCTTGGCTCCATGCACAGCCTCATGTGCTCCAAAGATTTCACACAGCTCTGGGACAGAGCCTTTGTGCTTTTTGTAACTGACCTTAGTCATAAATCTTCTTCCCACAGCCCTCCTGGGGATTCACATACATCAGCTACAAAACCAGAGCCACAGAAAAATGATGTTTTCATACACCCCTTACAGCTCTTAACACTAAATTAAGTTTTCTACACACTCCCTGACACCTCAAAAGGAAAGGATCCAAGTAGCAGAATACAGTAGCCTGTTAACTCTGCTCTCACTCACCTCCATATGATCTGGCTTCTGTTGCACCGCAGCCTCGAAGAGCAAGACAGCATTGGGGAGGTCACCTTCCTCCAAACGCTTCCGCCCCTCTTCAAATGCATCTGGGTGATCTCTCATGGGATTATCTTCCTCAAACTGGTAACCCTAGCAGAGGAAAAAGACAGGGGCTAATGCTAGGAGACTGTCTTAGGAGGAGAAGCACTCTCTGCAGTACAGCAGTCTAGTCTTGCTGCATCAGAAACACTCAGAACTGCAGAGCAGCCAGCACCCCATCCTCTCTGCTAATTTGTAGCACATCAGAGAACAATGGCTTTTCTTTCTGTCTGCTCTGTACCGAAGGATTTACCCAAACCCAGACTTGGAATAAGTTGCAACAGAGACTAGACATCTGGTATGGGGCCTATCAGCTTGGGGGCGGGTGGGGGGTGGCAACAATTGCATTCATTGCAAAAAATCCCAGCATTAACTGGTATTTGGCGTTGGGCAAGAACCGCATTTGCGGACAAGCACATGTGAAAACAGTATTTATTCAGCCCTTAGCTGATCTGAGATGAGGGTGTAAGAGCAAAGGATCAGTGGGAGAAGAAATCCTAGCAGCATTTGGGGGTCTGTGGAGCTCATCTGTGAGGCAGACATACTGCCAGTCTGCTCAAGGCAGTCCATCACAATGCTAGGGATGAGAGACCCTGTTCTCTATTACCTTGTCATATGATGAGGAGCTGATGTCTTCATACTCAGAGAGCCAAGGGTGAACCTCTGCATCTCTCTTAGCCATCTCCTCCCATTCTGCCTGGAGTTTGTCCCAGAAGTCCACATCTGACTGAGGAGAATAGAATGTGACTAGAGTACCTCAACCATAAATTAAACTCTACAGACACCCTAGAGAACACCCTCTTAAATGTTTCTAGCCCTCCTCACAGCATTCAAAAGGAGAGCGGTAACCCTATCATCAGTTCCCAGTTGGTATTCCAGCCCTCCTCCTCCACCAGCATTACCTCCACAGCAGTCTTTGCCTGCTCAAATTCCGTATCAAGAGTTGACATGTTCCCAGATCGCGCAAATTGATCCACCCAGGCATCAGATGCCCCCTGGAAGTTTGGAAACAGAAACACACCTCTCTTTTTAGACTCTGGCAACCTCAGGGCACATCCCAAAACAGCAGGAGGGTCTATGGTGACCCTTCCTCCCCATCAGCAAGAACTGATGGCCTGCAAAGTAGAGAGTTCATATGAATATCCCCTTCTTCCCAGGTGCTATGGGAGATGAGAAAATTCACACCACCCAAATACCTTCCCAGCTTCTGGCTAGACTCTACTAAGAAGAGCCCAACAGCCCCTCCCTTGCCTCCCACAGCCTAATCATCAGTAGAGCACTACTAAGAGTTGGACTTGCTCCCAGACTGTGCACTCTGGCAAAAAGCTTTCCTCCTTCAGAGCACATCGAGCTGGGGCTCCTACCTGCTGCTGTATAAACTCAGCTGCCCATTGCTCTGCCTGATCTTGGTCTCTGTGGGTCACCTGATTAGCTTCGATCGATACCCTCCCATCTCCGATCTGGCGGACAAACTTTAGGAACTGTGGCAGAGAAATGAAACAAGGGTGGAGCTGGGCAGATGCTCTACCAATAAGCCCTCTGCCCACACCCCCCTCCTTCACTAACAGGGCTTCTCTCTGCAAAGTGGGCACAAAAGGCCCAAAAGGGTAGAGAGCACAGGACTTCACCAGAGCCATGTGGTAGGGATGGATAATATCTAAAGTGGATTGTAGGGTTCAACTTCTAGGAGTCAGGGAAGAAATGGAAACACAGGAGAGCAGGCAGCTTTATTCCTTTACTGTCTTCCCCCTCCTCAATTCCCAACACCCCTAGTCACACTAGGTATTCTGTCAGCCCAGGTCAGGGAATTTCTTACCTCAGAATTCTTGAGTTTTGGATCATCCACTTTAGACAGGAAATCACTAACGGTTTTCTTAAGATCATCCTCAGGTTGATATTCCTCATACCTGTGTTCAGAGGCAGTAAAAGAGACAGTCTGACAGCAAGCAACAGTGAACTCCTTCACTAACAGTGGTCTAACGCAAGACAGGGATACAATCCCTCCTCAGAGGGTCTCCCAAGTGATTCAGTACACTTACCCATCTGTAAAAATTCAAGATTACTACTAGGCTAACTGTGCAAGCAACAGCAGCAGAATTAAACAATTGCAGTGACAGCACAGTTCTGCACAACAGTCTGGATTCCTTGGCAACTTCACATGCTACCAGACACTGCAAGTTTTAGCACTACAAAAACCAAGGTCATATATCTAGGAACAAAGAAAGTAGGTCATGCCCATAGAACAGTGTCTTGGAAAAGCATCAAGTCTGCAGAGGACTCATAGCAAGCACACAACTCAATATGTTGTCTGGCTTACAGCCAGACTAGTTCCAGGTGTTACTACTACATTCAGTCTTGGTGAAGTCTTTGGAACTGGCAGCAATTAACTCAGGAATGTCCATATTTGCAGAAGAGTATCAGAAAAGGCAAGAGCCAGGAGGAAGGAGAACCCATATATGCAAAATCCCTATACCCAAATTGTTTGCTTGTGTTTTGCATCTTTAATTTAAGAATGTCTGCAGTTAACAGGTACCTATACAGAGACGTAGTAGAAGGTACCTATACAGTAGGAGAGTTGACTGTTCTTTCATCTACCACACCAAAACTACATGAAAACAATTTTTGGAAGGTCAAATCTAGAAATGTGCAGAGGAAAGGCTGGATGTGGTTTGTCGGATAGGGAGAATAAAGTGATGAAAGTTTATAACTAGTAGAGTCTAGTACTTGAGATCTCTAAATCAAAAGCATCTGTTGTGAAAAGTTTTGTTTGATTAGGAGTTCCCAAAATCACTTTAAGCAGCTTTGCATTAGGTATGAGATTAAGTTATCCTACATAAGCACAGTATCTTCCAGAAACTACAAAACAGAACAGCTAGGATCTTTTAGAAACTTCAGTCTCAAAGCACTGTTTCCTTCTTTCTCTGAAACCAAAGGCCTGAGAACTTCAATCTAGGTCAAATGACTCAAAAGTATTCACAGCAGATTTCTACCACCTATCTTCACCCACCCAAGTGCCCAGCAACAATAGCTAGTCTTGAAGACAGACTCACCATTTATCTGCCAAAGACTGGTCTTCTGATTCCCCAAGCCACAGTTTCTCCTCTGACTGCTCTAGGTATTCTTCTGCCCACTTAGCAGGAGACACAGAGAGCGGATCTATGCAGGACATCAGGAAGAATGAGAAGAGCAACACAGGCAGACCCATCACCAAGATGAACTTCAGATTTTACACTCTTCACAGTTAGCTAATGTACAGAGAAAAACTCTTCAAAGAAAGTTATTGTTTATTTCTTCTAATTTGGTTTATTCTGAGCTAAACCTAAATCAAGCATTAGGTTCAGACTGCGTTAAGACAGACACCACCATGGTGCCAATAACCTTGTGATTTTCCACTTTAGTTTCACAACTCATTTGTCTGCTTCATGTGGGATACTGTGTAGGTCAAGAAAATCGGCAATGCATTACAAGTCTTACAAAGCACAGCCTTTAAAGCCTTGGTTTTCATCAGAACTTGCTCTAAGACCTTTGTAAATGCTGATTTATATTCCCAGAAGTATAAAGAGTGAAGGTCAAAGAATTGGTATACGTGGCTCTCTATAGTGGCCACTCCTGGAAGAGAGAATAGCATCTATTTAAATCTTACTCGTAACCTTCAGATTAGGTCATGGATGGTAACAGGACCCTATTATAATCCCATCTCTATATACAATGCAGGATGGCTTTCTGGGTAAGCTACTGGCTCGCTTGAAACAGGAAGCTTAACCTTTGGGACAGAAACATTCATTTTGCATATTTCCAAGGTGCAAAATCCCTCTACTTACATGAAACTGATACGAAGTACTTGGCCAAAGCACACTAAGAAATATTTACCTTTGTAACAAAGGCAAATTTAGCCTTAAGAAAGGGAATTAGAGAATATGTAGGCAAGAAGCAGTACCAGACTATCTCCAGAATTTCCATCGGCTGAATTGTGACAGTTTTTACAGAAGCACTTTGAGTAGCCTGCTTCTCCTAAATTCTCCAAGTAACCCAAGCTAAAAATAAAAGATCCTTACACCCAAATAAAAGCTTCCACACCACAATGTGTGTGTCGAAGCCATAACAAAGCAGGTGGGTTCCCTCCCCCACTCCCCATCAAAGCTGCTACAGTAAACATTGACTGCTGGGCCCAGAGCATTACTCCAATTTCACATCCAGTAATTCTCCCCTGTACACTGGCACGTGACTGGGCAACATCTCAAGAGTAATTCCAAAAAGAAGCCTTCACCTGTCACTTCAGCAATGAACTCCTGCGACCAGTCAGCCTCATTGTAATCTGAGGAGACATCACCAGCACTATCTGCTGCAGCCAAGAATTCCTGGGTCCAGTTTTCAGACAGTGCCAGAGCTGCCACACCTGGAGCTACAAGAAAAAACAGAAGTGAGGACTGAGGCACTCAAAGACATTATTTAAGTGTTCCTTCATCATCTCTCATCCTGCCTTTTCTCTTTGTTAAGAATAAAATTACAGCAAGATTCTAATTGGAAGCAATCTCTGGAGGCTGCTAGTGTTCTCACAGTAGGTTAACACTACAGCTAAGGATTAGGTTGCTCAGGGCATTCATCAGGTAACTTCTGCATTTGTCCAAGGCTAGCAATCCCCCAGCCTCCCTAGGCACCTGCTCCAGTACTGAACTGCCCTCCAAAGGAAGAAATGTTTTCTTACAGCTAGTCAGGTCCCCCTCCCACAAGCTGTGTCCATTGACCCTTGTCCTTCCGCTGTGTAATGCTGCATAGATTCTGGCTGCAGCTGCTGGAAGACAGCAGCTGGACACTCCACCTCCCCTGCTCCTTAGGATCCCTCTTCCCTGAGCTGAATAAAACAAATTTCATCAGGCTTTCCACTTACACCATGTTTTCTAATCCCTGAACATTTTATTGATCTCCACTGGCCTTGCTCCAGTACATTAGCATACTGGGAAGTCCAAATCTGGAAACAATACTCCAGACACAATCTCAGGAGTGTGGATTAGATGGGTACCACTCTGCTAGGAGCTTAACCATAACACCAAGATCTTCTCCAGTCTTGACCTACTCTAGCTCCCCTCACCTCTCTGAGGGGCCTGTCGGAAGCTTGACTGCTCAATCTCTTGCATCTCAGCCAACAGGTCATCCATCTTAAAGGTCTGGGGTGCACGGGACAATAAAGGGGCATTCTGCTCCTGCAGGAACTCTCCAACCAGCTGCCAAAGACAGAGATAGATTACAGACATAGCCACAGAAAATGAACAGGCAGAATATGGAGCATGAGAGAAAGGAATGGGCTTGTCAGAAGGAAAGATTAATATCAAGTAAGGGGAAAAATAACAAACAGTACTGATGAGAAAAGTAGTGAAGAAATGGATCAATCTGTTCTTACCTCATCTTCAGTGGCCACTCCCAGTGGTTTGGGTGCCTACAGGGAATAGTGGGCAATTATTCCAATGGCTTTGACCTCATACCCGTCTCCTCAGACAACTTATGACCCAATTAGTTTGCATCTTCCTCAACATTAAGCTGCCAGCATTTTCTTGCATTAGCTGCGTGTTTATGTGGAAGCTAAATGAGCAGGAATATATTGATTGACACTATCCAAATCCCTCCCACCACCTTCTGTGTCAGGGCTGTAAGGTACACACCTCACCACAACCATCAGCATGCTCCGAGGACAGATAAACACAACTTCCACAAACAGGCCCTCAGCCCACAGCCCAGCAGGACAAATCGGGTGACTCCATGGCCTCCTTACCCGGCAAAAAAGCAACGCTGCACCTATGTGCACCAGCAGTCCCGGGTACTGCTCATCCCACACTCCTGTTACGCCAGCACACCCTTATGCCCTGCGGGCGGACCCAGCCGCAGGCAGGCCCCGCATCCAGCCCCCGCTCAGCAAGCAGAACGACCGGCAAAAATCA